GTGGACAGGTTTCAGTGGAGCTTCCAGACTAAGACAGACTAGGAAAAAGGACCTGACAATCTACTTCTAAAAAAATTAGCCAGCGAAAACCTTATGAATAGCAGCAGAACATTGTCTAATATAATGCTGGAAGATGAGCCCCTCAGGTTGGAAAGAACTCCAAATACGACTGGGGAAGAGCTACCTCCTCAAAGTGGAGTCAACTTTAATGATGTAGATGGAGTAAAGCTTTTGGAACCTTCATTTGCTGATGTGACACAACTCAAAATGGGAAAAAAACAGCTGCAAACATCCATTAATAATCGGAACATAGAATGTACGAAGCATGAATCTTGGAAAATTGGAAGTCATCAAAAATGAAATAGAATACATAAAGATCAATATCCTAGGCATTAATGAGCTGAAATGGACTGGTATTGGCCATTTTAAATCAGACAGTCATATGGTCTACTATGCCGGGAATGACACGTTGAAGAGGAATGGTGTCACATTTATCTTCAAAAAGAACATTTCAAGATCTATCCTGCAGTACAATGCTGTCAGAAATAGGATAATATCCACCCACCTACAAGGAAAACCAGTTAATACGACTATTATTCAAATTTACGCACCAACCACTAATGCCAAAGACAAAGAAATTGAAGATTTTTTACAAATACTTCAGTCTGAAATTGATGAAATATGCAATCAAGATGCATTGATAATTACTGGTGATTGGAATGAGAAAGCTGGAAACAAAGAAGAATGATTAATAGTTAGAAAATATGGCCTTGGTGATAGAAATGATGCTGGAGATCACATGATAGAATTTTGTAGGACCAATGACTTATTCATTGAAAATACCTTTGTTCAACAACATAAATGGCTACTATACACATGGACCTTGCAAGACGGAATACACAGCAACAAATTGACTGCATCTGTGGGAAGAGACGATGGAAAAGCTCAATATTGTCAGTCTGAAAAGGCCAGGGGCCAACTGAAGAACAGACCATCAATTACTCATATGCGGGTTCAAGCTGAAGTCCATGAGAATCAAAGTGTTACTAGAGTATACCCCACCCGAATTTAGAGACCATCTCAAGAACAGATTTGGCACACTGAACACTAATGACTGAAGACCAGATGAGCTGTGGAATGACAACAAGGATGTCACACATGAAGAAAGCAAAACATCATTAAAAAGACAGGAAAGGAAGAAAAGACCAAAATGAATGTCAGAAGAGACTGTAACTTGTTCTTGAACACAGAGTAGCTAAATCGAATGGAAGAAATGGTGAAGTAAAAGCACTGAACAAAAGATTTCAAAGGGTGGCTCGAGAACACAAAGTAAAGTATTATAGTGATATGTGCAAAGACCTGGAGTTAGAAAACCAAAGGGGAAGAACACGTTTGGTATTTCTCAAGCTGAAAGAACTGAAGAAAAAATTCAATCCTCGAGTTGCAGTACTGAAGGATTTTATGGACAAAAAATTGAATGATGCAGGAAGCATCAAAAGAAAATGGAAGGAATACACAGAGTCACTGTACCAAAAAGAAGGGGTTGATGTTCAACCATTTCAGGAGGTAGCATATGACCAAGACCCAGTGGTGCTGGAGGAAGAAATCCAAGCTGTACTGAAGGCATTGGTGAAAAACAAGGCTCCAGGAATTGATGAAATCCCAACTGAGATATTTCAACAAACGATGTAATGCTGGAAGTGCTTGCTTATCTATTACAGGAAATTTGGAAGATAGCTACTTGGTCAAGTACTGGAAGATATCCATATTTGTGCCCATTCTAAAGAAAGGTGATTCAACAGAATGTGGAAATTATCAAACAATATCATTAATATCACATGCAAGTAAAATGTTACTGAGGATAATTCAAAAATGGTTACAGTATTACATTGACAGAGAACTGCCAGAAATTCAAGCCGGATTCAGAAGAGGTTGTGGAACAAGGGATATCATTGCTGATGTCAGATGGATCTTGGCTGAAAGCAGAGAATACCAGAAGGATGTTTACCTGTGTTTTATTGATTATGCAAAGGCATTTGACTGTGTGGTTCATAACAAATTATGGATAACATTGCAAAGAGTGTGAATTCCAGAGTGCTCATGAGGAACCTGAACTTAGACCAAGAAGCAGTCATTTAAACAGAACAAGGAGATACTGCATGGTTTAAAATCAGGAAAGGTGTGCATCAGGGTTATATCCCTTCACCATACTTATTCAATCTGTATGCTGAGCAAATAATCCAAGATATAATCTGAATAATAATCCAAATAATCTGAATGCTCCTTAGAAGCAAGAATGGTGATACTTCATCTCACGTATTTTTTGACATGCTATCAGGAAGGACTAGTTCCTGGAGAAAGATACCATGCTTGGTAAAGTATAAAAAAAAAACCAAACCAGTTGTTATTGAGTCAATTCCAACTCATAGCGACCCTAGAGGACACCACAGAACTGCCCCCATAGGGTTTCCAAGGAGCAGCTGGTGGATTTGAACTGTCGGCCTTTTCATTTGCAGCCAAGCTCTTAACTATTATGCCACCAGGGCTCCGGTAAAGTATAGGCTCAGCAAAAAAGAGGAAGACTCTCAACATGATGCAACAAGGGGCTCAAACGTAGCAACAATTGTGAGGATGGGATAGGACTGGACAATGTTTCTTTCTGTTGTACACAGGATAGGGTCACTATGAGTCAGAACTGAGCTTCTCTTTGTTTAACACAAGAAGTGACCCTTAAGAAGTATAGGGCTCATACAACCACTATGGAAAATGGTATGCGGTGTCCTCAAAAAGCTAGAAATAGAAATACCGTGTGATTCAGCAATCCCACTGATAGATATTTATCCTAGAGATATAAGAGCAGTGACATGAATAGACATATCCACATCCATGTTCATTGCAGCATTATTCAAAATAGAAAAAGATGGAAACAACCTAAGCACCAGTCAATGGATGAATGGATAAAGAAAATGTGGTACATATGTACAATGGAATATTACACAACAAGAAAGAATAATGATGAGTTTGCAAAACATCTTTTAACATGGATGAATATGGAGGACGTTATTCTGAGTCAAATAAGTGAAACCAAAAGGACAAATGTTGCATGCTACCACTTTTATAAAAAGTCCAGAATAGGTATACACACAGAAGGCAATGTTCTTTATTGCTTACCAGAGGTGGGTGGGGAGGGAGGGGGAATCACTTACTAGATAGTAGATGTGTGATAATTCTGCTGATGGGAAAGACAATACACAATGTGGGGGAAGTCAGCACAACTTGACCAAGGTAAATGAAGACACTGAGAGGTATGCAAGAATAAAGAACAACTGTGGTAAATGCTATAACATATACAGTTTTGCAACGACAGTAATAACAAGCAAAAAATATGAATGGTTATGTAGGTAGATATGTATGCTGTATGCGTATGGGAAGGTGTATGGTAGTACATGCATGTGTATATATATGTATATTTGTGGGCATATGTATATACATGTTTGTATGTGGTGCATATATATTCATATATACAATAAAGCACATAGAGTCAGTTACAGATACTTCCTAGACATATCCAAACACCTTGTTGGAGTGATTTACTGAGTTTGAAGGCGCAGGACCATAGTCTCCCGGGACAACTAGGTCAATTGGCATAACTTAGTTCATAAAGATAATCTTTTACACCCTAGTTTGGTGAGTAGCATCTGTGGTATTAAAGGCTTGTGAGCAGCCACCTAAGATACTATTGGTCTCTTTCTGTCTGGAGCAAAGGAGAATCAAAGCAACCAAAGACTCAAGGAAAAAATTAGGCCACAGGGTTAATGGCCCACATTAAACACAGCATCTTCTAGTTTGAGACCAGAAGAACTAGATGGTGCCTGGCTACCATCACTGACTGTTCTGACCAGAGACACAATAGAAGGTCCTGGTTATAATGGGAGAAAAATGTGGAACAAAATTCAAATTTATAAAAAAGACCAGACTTACTGGTCTGATGGAGACTAGAGGAACCCCAAGCCTATCACCCTAAGATACCCTTTTAACTTTTAACTGAAGCCACTTTCAGAGGTCATTTTTCAGCCAACTAATAGATTGGCCTATAAAATAAATAATAACACCTATGAAGAATGTGCTCCTTTAAACAAGCAACTGCATGAGACCAAACAGTCAACATTTACCCAAAAGCAAAAATGAGAAGGCAAGGAGGGGCAGGGAAACTGGATGGATGGAAATGGGGCAGGCAGGGTGGAAATGGTGAGAGAGCTGACTCATTGTGTGGATTATAACCAGTTTCATGGAACGATTTGTGTATAAATTGTTGAATGGGAATCTAGTTTGCTGTGTAAACTTTCACCCAAATCACCACAAAATATTAAAAAAAAAAAAATAAAGAAGTATAGGGCTCAGGGATCAGCTCTTACTTTTCCCTGTCAGCCACACTGTGGAGGGGGCAAGTGGCAGCAGGGTACAAGCTAATAAACTGTGGGCCACACACTGCTGGGAGTACTCTATTTGAAAGTATTACTTACAAAAATCAATTGATTTTAGCAGATTTTTTTTTAATGACCAATAAAATATTGCAATATATTTAAATTTTCAGTTAGTAGCTATGGAGTTGTAGTTGCTATTTCCAAAAATGACCATTTAAAGGAGTGGTACTTTTCTTTCTTTAAATGATACAAACACTTCTATAAGTCTCTGCCTAAATTCCCAACTGTTAGCAGAAAGCTACTGTCTGGCCAGTTCAGACTAGATTTAAGTGTTACATAGAGAATCATCAAGTTCTTTAAGTTTGTGTTACAGGGTGTGATGGTTAATTTTATGTGTCAACTTGGCTAGACTATGGTTCCCATACTATTATATATGTGTATAATCATTGGTTCTGTTTCTCTAGAGAAACCTTACTAAGACACAGGGTTCCTCAAAATATGTTTTATGCATATGGAGCTTCCTTGCTCCTCGATTTTGGAAAGGCAGGAAGTCTAAGAAAAAAGCCAACTATTTCATCCTGTTCGAGCATGCACATGATTTATTTAAGTATTCTCAAAAAGTCTATTTTTTCTAGCATAATGCAGGTATTATGCTATCCTTTGAAATAAGATATATGAATTTCGAACGAAATTGTCAAAAACAATGACCTTGGTTATTCCATATGGTACACAGAAATAATTACATTTCACTTACAATACAGATGCACTTAACACAGTCATCAATAATCATTCACAACCAACACAGTATATTTTAAAATCACCTAAAACACCAAAAAGTTTTTTTTTTCTTTTTCAAAATTCTAAAGAAAGTAATAGTTTTGGATAAATGATAAGTTGAAAGAGGAGGCAAAACTGTTAATTGAAATAATCTAACTGCCTTTTCTCTTATTCTTAATATTAAGACCACTAAAATAAAGCTTCTCATTGGGAATCAAAACACCTAGGTATTCTTGCATTGTGGTTTTCTTAGTCTAGCTTTAAAAAGTTTTTCAATGAATGCCATCAAAGAAGTTTCACTATACATTTGCTCTAGAAGCGTACAGTGACATGAGGCAAGTGTTAATAATTGTTAATATTCACGCTGCTGGAAGATTAGTAACTTTTTAAAAGACGTACTAGGAATAAAGCCAGTTCTTCCCAAGGGATAGTTGAGTTTATCTTACTGTCATTCAGCACATCTTTACTGAGCATCTACTGTGTGCACAGCACTGTTCTAGAAGCTATTCTAGAAATGGGAAGCAAGGTCAGTATCTGGCTTTACTTTAAAATGGCTCAATTAATTTTTTTTTAATGATAAATTATGATAAGCATTTAAAAATCCCTGTAATAGAGGGATAATTATTAACTCTTTCCATGTATGGAAGCTAAACTTTATTCCTTACAGTGGTGGTTTGGAATGAACAAAACTTTTTATTTGACATAAAACTTTTTTACACTGTCACGTGCAGACATATCTGCAGATGTAATATATTTTTAGAGATGAAAAGTGGAAAGACTTTTCACTTAAATGTACATAGAGATTAACTTTGCATCATCAAACTCCTGCCCTTCAGATGCAGTGGAGAAAATTGCTCCTTGGAATATGCAGGAAACTTTCTGAGATTAATTTGTGCTGCCCTCCTAAATGGCATGGAGATGGTGCTTTCATCAAATATTGCTACATAAAGCACTCCAGTTTATCTCTGCATTTCAATTTACATCAGTTATTCTCAAAATGTATTGAGATCCAAAGAAAAATAAATAATACATCAAGTAAGATTCTGGGATCATTGATCCTGTTACATGAGTCCCAGCCAACTCTTTTCATGAAACATCTATTGATATAGTCAATATCTGGGCTTTTCCATAACAAAAAAGAGGTTAGAGATAATTCATAGATGTCAACTCCTTTTTTTTCTAAGTTTCGACAAGGGGATTGATGATAATAATCTACTTGCAAGATAACTTGTTGGGAAATACAAAAGTATGAAAGTCATTTGAACTACAAAAGTTAGTCCAGTTGTTGGCGATCAACCCAATAAAAAGATGCTACAGAAATACAGGAACAGATAATGCACTGTGTCACAGGAATACAGTGGACCAAAGGATATTACTGAAAAACATTTATGGTATAATAGTTTTGGATTTAAAAAGCTACCTAAAACCTGGCCACACCAGGACTTTTTCTATGAATGTAGCTCATATTGTATCTATGAAGATCTGGAAAGTAGAACAACAAAAAAATCCTGATTCCTGATACAACAGGTATACAATGAATTATTGCAGTTGTAACAGTATCTAGGTGCAAGGTGAAATGATAATTAATGCTATCTATCTGAACACTTTAGCTTTACTAATGAGCATCCCCATGAGAAATACTGCAGCTCTAAAAGGAGTTTATTTGTACAGCCCACCATAGAACATGAACAATCAGCTTGTTGTAAGTGCACAGAAATTCTCCCTTTCTACAATTATAGTTTATCATGCCTATTCTGAAGACAACATAAGGAAACTGAGATCACTGCTCCAAAGAATTCTAGCATGCATTATGATGGTATTTCCTTCAGTCAATACAAATGTGTTACATGAGGTTTTTTTATATGTAATAATCTTCATCATAGCCAATGTTCATGGCTTTGACAGGAAAAAAAATTATCAAAATGTTTCCATATTTTTGTTTGTTTGTTTTGCATTCAACTGGATCATTATGTTCAAAGATTTATTTTATTAAAAAAGAGTTCTGGTCATAAGAAGCTTTGATAGGTGGCATTTCATTGTGCTCATTCACGAAGTCAAAGGGCCACAGAATATTCTGCTGTATAACTTGTCAAACTCTGTCTGGAAATGCCATTTGGTGGCCTTATTCAGATCCTCAAGTTTGGGAGTTATGTTTTGGTTTCACTACCAACCTTCTTGCTTTGCCGTTTTAATCTGAGAAAGGTTTATTATTTCTTCTTTCTTCTGGGTTAGGATTCTTTTCACAGCCAGGGCTCAAATTCCCTTAGACTTTATTCCAATTGTCTTACAAAGCAGACACTCGAACAATATTCCCTCCTGAGTATTCAGGAGATTCTGGCCTGTCATCTCCTTCTGGTGTGGTTACAGGAGGTGTTGGGATGCTTATTATTGCTGTAGTCACATAAGGTTGTTCACAGTTTAGTTTAACACATTCTTCCATTTTGGCATTTAAACTTGACCGGCTGATGAGGGGAAAAAAAAAAAAAAAGGATTTAAGAAAGTAAGTTGTTTCATCAATTTTTTTTTTTTTTCATACAACTGAGGTATATATGCTTTAATGTTGATACGTAAAGGAGCCCTGGTTGTGCATGGTTAAGGGCTCGGCTGTTAACTGAAAGGTCAGCAGTTCGAACCCACCAGCCGCTCCATGGGAGAAAGATGTGGCAGTCTGCTTCTGTAAAGATTTACAGCCTTGGAAACCCTGTGGGGCAGTTCTACTCTGTCCTACAGGGTCGCTATGAGTCAGAATCGACTTGACACCAGTAGGTTTAGTTGGTTTGGTCAGGTGAACATTAATTAATCAGGACAATAACATTAAATAGATGTCTAAAAGCCAGCTCAATTTGGTTCAAACAGTATTTTTCAAACAAAGTATATTCCACAAAAATGCAAGAGAAAGGGTCAGTAAGTTTTCAAAAGCTTAGCCTGAGTAAAAAATAGATTTCTTTAAGACAAGACCTCTGAGAGGTTTGAGAAACCATTTTAAATGGGACATACTATCTAGGTGTTATGGATTGAATTGTGTCCCCCAAAAATATGTGCCGTAAATCCTAACCCCTATACCTGTGATTGGAGCCCTGGTGGTGCAGTGGTTAAGAGTTGGCTGCTAACTACAAAGGTCAGCAGCTGGAATCCAACAGCCGCTCCTCAGAAGCCCTATGGGGCGGTTCTACTCTGTCCTACAGGATCACTATGAGCTGGAATGGGTTTGGTTTTGTGGTATATCTGTGGTTATAATTCCATTTGGGAGTGGGTTTTCTTTGTTATGTTAATGAGGCAGTATTAGTGTGGGATGTGTTTTAAATCAATCTCTTTTGAGATTACAAAAAGAGCAGATTAAGCAAGCAAGCAAGGATGGGGGAAGATAGATGCCCTGCCACATGAAGATCACCAAGGAGCCAAGGAATAGAAGCTGAAAATAGACAAGGACCTTTCCTCCGATCAGACGGAGAAAGAGAGCCTTCTTCTAGAGATGGCATCCTAAATTCAAACTTCTAGCCTCCTAAACTATGAGAAAATAAATTTCTGTTTGCTAAAGCCACTTCCTTGTGGTATTTCTGTTATCGTAGCACTAGACAGCTAAGACACTAAACCAAAACAAACAAACCCCCTGCCATTGAGTCCATTCTGACCCATAGCGGCCATACAGGACTACATAGAACTGCCTCATAGGGTTTCCAAGGCTGTAATCTTTACGGAAGCAGACTGCCACATCTTTCTCCTACAGAGTGGCTGATATGTTCTGATAGTGGATTTTTGGTTAGCAGCCGAGCACTTTAACCACTGCACCACCAGGGCTCCTTGGCCACATGTTGAAAACCCCAAAAAGTTAGTTATTACTATCTAATACTTCAAAGTTTTCCAAAGTGGCATTCTTGCATGAGTTTTATATTCTGTGCAGGGAAGTGGGAGAAAAGAGGAAGGGGCAAGAAGGGTCTAAACAGAAGCTTAAAAAATGTTTATTTTCATGGAAAACAATAAAAATGTTAATATATTAAGATTTTCTTTCCAAACACTTCTCCATTTTCTACTTTGTTTTGTAATGATGTAAACTCAGGGGCAGAATATGTTAGAGATAGAAATCTTTCATTGCTCCCAATTTTAATGTGCTGGTCCCCGAGACATCCACTCTATGTAAATCAACATCACCTGAATTCTGCATCCCATCCAAGTTTTCAACAAAGATTGTTGAATGCCAACAAAGGAGTAGGACTGAATTAATAGACTGATATTCTAAAAACAGAAGCTATTTCATTTAATGAAAAAAGTAAAATTATTTTTAAAGACTTGTACCATTTAAATGTACTACTTTTTATTACACATACATGTTTATGGTAAATACAAATAGTAAATAAAAGTGAAGGGAAAATATATTGTCCATAAACCAGAGATAAACAGTTTTAACATTTCACTTTTTTTTTTTTTTTTTCTGGTATTGGATTGATTTTGTGTTTGCAATGGTCAAAAATACTTTCATAATCAAAATTGCCTGTTGATTCAAGAGATTTGTGTAGGCATAGTTTTAATTTTCACTGGTACATGGAACGTGTTGAAGTAGTTTTAAGTGCTGCCGGATAATTTTCAATCATATCCATGCCAATTTTGTCTGTCTCTTTTAGTAGCGTTGACTGAGTTTACATAAGGGACTCCTGAGTATATAGGTCCTGGCTCAAATAAGAAAAGAATGTGGAGTTGAAGAGGTAGAAACACATTTGTGTGTGCCTGACAATCTTTTCCTCCTTTCTACTCTTTTGATTCTGACACAAACTGGTACTTTTGACCCTTAATGAATATGCCAGTAGATCGGTTTTCCTACTTGTTAGTTTCAGTTTTGTCTCATTCTAAACCCTGGTGGCTAGGATTTAGATGCTACAGAGATAGCAGCAGGACTGAAAGGACACAAACCCGTTGCCGTGGAGTCGATTCTGAATCATAGTGACCCTATAGGACAGAGTAGAACTGCTGTATAGTTTCCAAGGAGCGGCTGGTGGATTCGAACTGCTGACCTTTTGGTTAGCAGCTGTAGCTTACCATGGCTCTTATCAACTCGGCCACCAGAGCTTGACTGAAGGAGGAGTTACAACCTCTGAGCCAGCACAGGTGTGTATACACAACTCAGACTGATTTCCACAGGTACCTGTTCGATAGTGGTGTTCTCTCCACACATCTGATCTGAATCGTACTGAGTTCCTGCACGCTGCCTCGGTGGCTCCCTGATACGTTGGCATTCGGGATGCGGAAAGTTTTTTTGTGTCGTCGTGAACAGCAAGTGCTGGTGACTCCTTGTGACGAGAGCGAGGGACTGTGACTGGAAGGGCGATTGACAGTTGCAACTTCCATGCAGCTTTCTTCAAAGACTTGTTCATCCACAAACTCATGATTCTGTTCCACATTTGTAAGAACGTGTAAAGAAAGCACAGAAACACAGTTTTTTTAATTAACAAAAAAGAAAACGCATGACTTTACTTTTAAAACTCAACTATGTCCCATGCTGTTAGACTCTATCCAATAGATAACTAATACCATCTTCATAAAGATTAGAATATCAAAGCCACTTCTTTTTGACATTTGTGTGGACATAAAACCCATCCAGTTAGGCCCTGAGATGGATACATGTAGGCTGATTTAGTCTATTAATTGACTGACTTAATCTTGAAATGTTATTTGCTAATTTCAACATAAAATCTAATCATTATACGCAAAAGAAACCTTTAAAAACCTTTAAACCTTTAATGGTTTTTAATAACAAATACAGAGATTAACTAGAGGGAACTTGTAGATTCACATTAACTATATTTTTAAACAGATTCAGGCAATGGAAAAAAGACCATTTTAATAGAATGCCCCAAGTCAGATTGTTACATATTAGCAAATATTTTCACATGGACTTGAAAACATTTTTTTATTAGAAAATGAGATACTTAATACACTTCTCGTTTCCTTAGATTCTCCTTTAAAATCCCCGGCATATAGAAAAATATGATTTATTAAATAAGTCAAATACATTTATCTGCAAAATGTGTCATGCACTGAACTTTTGTGCCCTGGTCTCTCATCTTTGTGATCCATCATTAACTCCACTCATGATCTATGCCTACATTCAGAGTTCTTCCACCCCAGCCTTCCTGAATTCCATCTCAGAAACAAAGAGTGATGGTCCTCATTGCATATACACTGTTTTATAGAAATGAGGTATAAATTTTGCTTTAAAAATATTTAATGAAGAATTGCCTTCTAAAATGTCAGTGTAAGAATTTTACCTGACAAATATAAGAGAAAACATTTTTGGTCTGACCTACTAGAGAATGATTTCAATTACTATTTTTCCTTTGTGTGGGTGGGAATGATCTTATAATGGAAAGCTTTGCACAGGGTTACTGAATTCCACTTAACCATCTTTTATCCTAAAATATTAGTAAAACAATTGAAGCAATTCACTGACTAATAGAAACTAGATTGTTTAGTTACTCATTTGGTCATTTCTTTGCTGAGACAAGCATTTTGAAAGAAATGAAATTTAACATTCTACTGTTTAAAGTTCAGAGAATAATAAAATCATAAAGGACAGAATTTCACATTAAATATTAAATTTCAGAGAAGAAATACAGTGCACAAAGGATTCACAATTTGTTTTATTTTCTTATAATGCACTTTTCACACACATAGTACAAGTTATAAGGCATGAGATTCTAATTTCTCTCACCAGGAATTAGACATGAAGAAGTCATTCTGTTGCTGGTTACTATGATATTTTGTATGTAGCTCAATTTAAGCTATAGTAATCTATGTTAAGTAATTTTTGCTTAAAAAATCCTAAACGATAAAAAATTGGAAAAAAGGAAAGTAAAAGCAAAGAAAAAACTGGGATAAACATGAACATATTCTATTATTAACATATTATTTAATCTTTGAAGATTTAACTAATGTTATAGACATGTGCATAACTTTATTTAAAAATGCAAATGTAATCATGTAATTACCGTGTTTAAAACCCTTAAAAACCTTTTCCTTTATAATGAAATAAAATCCAAAATTCTTCACATCGCCTCTGTCATGGATTGAATTATGTTCCCCTAAAAATGCGTGTATCAATTTGGCTGGGCCATGATTCCCGGTATTGTGTGATTTTCCTATATGTTGTAAATACTGCCTCTATGATGTTAATGAGAGAGGATGGGTGGCAGATGTGGTAGTGAGGCAGGACTCAATCTACAAGATTGGATTGTGTCTTGAGGCTCTCTCTTGAGATATAAAAGAGAGAAGCAAGCAGAGAGACAGGGGGACCTCATACCACCAGGAAAGCAGTGCCAGGAGCAGAGCATGTCCTTTGGACCCGGGGTCCCTGTGCGGAGAAGCTCCTAGTCTGGGGGAACATTGATGAGAAGGCCGACAGAGAGAGAAAGCCTTCCCCTGGAGCCGATGCCCTGAATTTGGACTTTCAGCCTACTTTACTGTGAAGAAATAAATTTCTCTTTGTTAAAGCCATCCACTTGTGGTATTTCTGTTACAGCAGGACTAGATGACTGAGACAGCCTCTGAGGCCTGCATTATCCGGGACTTGCTTTCATCCCTGCCTCCTCTTCTCCCATGCTAATCTCTCCTTCCAACCAACCACAAATTCTTTCACATCTTCTTAGGCCAAGTTCTTGCCTTCTTTAGTTACTTCTGTCACCTTAGCCGGTCCATTTCTTTGCCTAATTATCTCCTGCTCAGTCATCCTTTCATTCTTACTATGAATTGAATTGTGTCCCCACCTCCCACCCCCCCCAAAAAAACAAAAATATATATTGAAGTCCTAACCCCCGGAACCTGTGAACACGAGCTTGTTTGGAAATAGGGTTTTAGATGATGTCATCGGTTAAATTAAGATGAGGTCATGCTAGAGTAGGCTAGGCACTAATGCAATCTGAGTGGTGTCCTTATAATAGAGGAAAAGAGACAGAAAGACACACAGAGAGGAAGGACAGCCATGTGAAGATGTGTCTATAAGCTAAGGAGCGCCTTGAGTTACCAAAGCCGGGAAAGGCAAGGAAGAATCTTTCCCTAGAGGCTTAGAGGGAGCTGGGGACTGATGGACGTGTTGATTTGGACTTTCAGCCTCCAGAACTGTGAGATAATATATTTCTATTCTAGCCACCCAGCTTATGGTCCTTTGTTATGCAGCCACCGGAAACTGATAGCGTTCTCAAGTTCTTCCAGGAAGCCTTGCCTGATCCAGTACCTTCATGACTCTGTCCTCTTTGCCCCTCTCCATTGTGGCCTCATCATTGCTTCTGCTGCTCACTGCCCTTCTCCAGTAAATCAGTACTTTGTCCCATACATGGAAACTCCATGCTGGATGGGGCCATGACTGACTTCATGGTGTACCTTGAGTCTGGCTCATTGTCTGTCACATACTGTTACCTACTGGTAAATAATACATATTTGTTGAATAACTACATAACTAAATGAATAAATGGGTGGACAATATACTGGAATTGATAATCTAAATATGCATCTCTGATGAGTGAATGAGCTGACTTGATTTAAATATGGTGAAAGTCTTTCCTACTCTGTAGTCACAGACTAATTCCTACCAACAAGCTAGCTGAGGGGTTCGTGCTTTGTCAGCCAGGAGGTCCAATTGAAAGCTGGTAAATGGAGAAACAAAAACTCAGTCCTCAGCGCTGAGGGGCATAGCAGTAGTTAAGTGTGTCATTTTTCTTATTAGAACATTTTTTTATTATCTATCTGTTTTCATTATGCCTGTGAAAAAAATGCTTACATTCAGTTATTTTCTATTTTTTTGTTATTGATATTAATATTTTTTTATCCAGGAATCAGTAACATTTGAACTATATTTTTTGCTGTTGTTGTTTAATCAGCATTTTAGGAACCAGGAAAAAAAGACATTTTGTAAGACTTGCAGTCAGCTACTGGAAGACAACTTTCCATTAGCATTTAGCTGATATCTTAAAGAAAACCACTAAGGATAATAATAATGCCTAAATATATATCTACAATGCCTTCTAAGTTGAAATGGGCTCAAACATAGCAATGATTGTGAATATGGCTCAGGACAGGGCAGTGCTTCATTCTGTGGTACACAGGGTTGCTATGAATTGGAATTAATTTGACTGGACCTAACCTAACAAGTTGGAATGGCACTGTGGTCTTTCAAAGTCATTTCTAATATTGCTTTTCTTTTTTTAATTAAATTTTTAGAATGTTTTCAAGTGATGCAGACAGTGGGACCGCAGTTGGAAGCATTAAACAGTCACAAAAGCAAATGGGATTACTGTCCTCTGACATGCAGGGCAGGCAGGCATGCTGGCTCCTTACCGTGGTTTTTTCCAGGCAGTGAAGCAGGTGGTGGTGCTGGGTTTCAAAGCTGGAGCCAGATTTGCTCACAAAGGCCTGCTCATCCTCTGAGGACTGTTAACACAGAGAAGACAGGGGTGCTTTCTATTTTATTTTGCAAACAATGAGAACCTCAGTGATACATTTCCACAGGAGAGATCTGGCCTATTTTTTTTTTTTTTGAGATTAAATAGAATTTTTTTTTTCTTTTCCTGAACCAAAAGGGACAAATGCGCAGTTGCTTTTAAGTTTGAAGCTTAGTATTTACATTTTGGTCAAATTAGTGGTCTCATCTTTTAGATATGCCTCCCCAGATTGAAAATTTAAATTTCTTTTACATTCAACTATCTTTGTAAGCCTGGAAGCCATTGTTTTTGGATAATAAAATTTAACCTAATACTTAGATAATCCTGAAACAACTACCTCAAGGCTATTTTGTAAGTAAAGATAATTGCAATCTTAAATATTAAAGCAAAGTTTTGAGGTAAAAGTTCCCAAATTGTATTTTATACTGTGTGATCTTTATAACATGAAGCGATGTGTTCTTCTCTATTAAAAAGTAAAGCAAGTCATCACATCATCCCCGAAAGAACTTTTAAAGAACATAAATATTTTTGAAATAAAAATGAATTAGGTATTTGAGTTTCTGAGAATGTGTTGACTTTTCCCACGATAACATGAGTCAGTGCAGAAATATTGCCCAGTCATGAATGGGAATCGTGATTCATTGCCAATATCCCATAGCCTGGTTTCAAACCTGCTAGAGCCGATTGGGGACTCCCTGGGTGGTGGTCGCTATGAGCTGGAATGGACTCGACGGCAGTGGGTTTGGTTTTGGTTTCTGGGTGGTGAAAATGGTTAATGTGCTCCGATGCTAACTGAAAGGTTAGAGGTTTGAGTCCACTCAGAGGTGCCTAGTCAGAAAGCCCTGGCGATCTACTTCCAAAAAATCTGTCACGGAAAACCCTGTGGAGCACAGTTCTACTCTGATACAAGCAGGGTCACCATGAGCCTGCACTGACTCGAGGGCAACTGGATCAGAGCCAACTGGGATGCATAGCATGAAGTTATAAAAAAATGATTCTTTTGTTGTTTCAGTAGCCATTTTTATAATTACCCACAATAAAATTATATGGTTAAATAAAACTAAATCAATCTCACATCAATACATTGAACGTTTGAGAACATGAAGTGTTTGACTGTACCTGTAGCTGATTACTGAGTAAGCCATTTCGTTTGCTCTGCATGTAAGCGTTTGCACTTCCGCTTTTGGCTGCCCGGATCCTAGCAAGTCTGGCTTTCTATTGAAGAAGAAAAATGAATATCCTATTAATATTTATGGATTGTATTTCTTACAACAGAGAATGCACTTTTGGGTAAGTCCTAATGTCAGCATACATATTTTTAACAGTTTTCACATGTAACTATTGAGAATTAAATTTTCACTGTTTTGAGGGACTTATTTTAGTATTTACCAGTAAAATCAACTAACCCCCTTGGGGCTGGGTTATGCATTTAGGAATTGTAGTTAAGTCTTTACAGTAAGATCAAGTTATTTCATTATTGCTTCTGTCAATTGGGTGAAGACAAAAATAGCAGTATTACTTTACTCATATTTTCACTTACCCAATCTGAGTGCCTTAATGAAATGAAGACCAAGTAGACAGGCACAACACCTGCCAGCTCTTCTCTTCCATTTAAAACTAATATTCTTTTTAAAATTAGTACCTAAGTTCCAGGAACCAACTGCCTTTTATTTTTTTTAAAGAACCATTATTCAGCTGTATCTCTACCCTTGAATGTAAAATTTTGTTTTTACAATTATCTTGTAAAATTGGCCAATGTACACCCCATGCTGAACAATATGGGTCTCTAAAAATTCTGATTTTTTATTTTGACTGTTGGCACAGTGTCAAAAGCAAATGTTTGTAAGAAGTAATAGGGATGGCTTGGACAAGAACTTTCTTGGAAACTTACCCAACAAAGTCTCCTTTTTGCTCTGTTTGTAAACAACCCAGATAAATAGCAACTTCACGCTCTAGGCATGGAATGTTCTTTTTAATAATATTTAAAAAGAATTCATCCCCCATTTTTTAAAATGGGGGGTGAATACATGCATATGATAAAAATTTTAATAGTACAAAAGTACATTTAAGACAAGTAAGTCTTTCTTGGTCCTGGAGCTGCCCTATACCTCAGAGCCTACCTAACATTTATAGAAAATCCTGCCAGAATTTTTTAAAGCATATTAAAGCAAATATAAACAAACAAATAAATTCATGTGTATACATACATATTTTTACTCAGTTGGGAGAATACTCCTCACACTCTTCTGCACTTAGCTGTTTTCATTTAATACATATTAGAACTGCTTCCATATCTACATGTATACCACCTGATTTGGTTATAGATGTATAATATGTGACCAATTAAAATGTATTTTTTTTTTTTTTTTTTTTTAGCATTTTGCCAGTACAAGTAATGCTGCCTGCTTTGAACATCATGGTGAGCTTATCTGCAAGACAAATATCTGGAAGCAGAATTACTACTGGATTAAAGGGTATGTGGGGTGTGTGTGTGCGTGTGTGTGTGTGTGTGTGTGTGTATGTATGTATGTGTGTGAGATTTTGGTAGGTTTTGCCATAGTTCCCTCTACCCAAGATGCTCTTCCACCCACAGCACTTGAAAGTAGCACAGAGATGTTCCAAGTCCTCAAAATAGTATTAAGATATCATTTGGCTTCAACTCCGCCCCTTCTCCCTTCCTCCCTAAGTTTATTCTTCCTGTTTGCTAATTCTATGTTAAAATGATACTTTGTCCAAAGATCATACTTATAAGTGTTGGGAAAAATAGACAACTTTTACCCTTTGGTGGCAATATAATGTTTCAATCACTCAAAATACTGAGACCATACTAGAGGATGAAGTTAGAAGGCAGAAACTTTTCAGTGTTAAAGGCTATGCTGCGAAGCTAAGATTACAAGTCAGAGTCAATAAAACAAAGGCAAGTGACAAGAACATTTGGAAATGACTTAAAATCAACCTAATAATTCAGAAATAAGCAATTTACGTATGCATCTGGTTTCCAAAAAGGAATTATTGTTAAAATTTCAGTTCTAAAGTTTCTTTGATGTTTTAGAACATCCATTACCTTTTTTGGTTCTCTCAGACTCTCTCCTTTTTTTTTTTGGAACTACTGTGTGTAATTATACTGCCTAAGCTATAGTTACTGTCTCAACTATGTCATTTTTTTTCTCTCCATCTCCAAACATTTAGCATCAGTATTGGGAAACATTACGTGCATTCATTAATGACACATATACATTAACCACAATTACTGTCCAGTAGAGGAAAACGACCTTTCAGTTAGCAACCCAGCGCTTAAGCAACTTGCCACCAGGGCTTCACTACTGGACCATTTTGTTACCATATCAAAACACATTTACAAGACTTTTGGAAAATAAAGGTACCTTGGGTCAGTGGCATCACTAGGGTTGGTGTCACCCAGTGCGGCAACTCATGGTGTCACCCCACTGTTAGCAGGGCTGCCCAGCCCACCTCACCCCTGCACAGGGTGGAGTGCTGCACCTGCCTCACCCCTCCTGGCCCTGCTCCTGGGGCTTCCTGAAGCTCCTCCACTCTCCCATTGGCCAAGGAGGAGTCCCTCCTCTCTACCAAATGGCAGGTGCTGAAGCCTGGCAGCCTGCACCTTGACCGGTTGGTGATCGGTGCGTGTGTGCATGTGTGTGATGAATTATTGCACTGGGTAACGGATGACACCAACCCTAGTGGCCGCCACTACCTTGGCGGACCCTTCCCTGGACGCCACACCTGCTGCTGCTGCCACTGCCACCACCACCACTGCCGCCATTGCCACTGCTGACCCTGGTGTCCCTTTGGTGTCACCCCCTCTGACAGTATGAGGGCGTGTGGTCCGCACACCCACACTCCCCTAGTAATGCTACTGCCTTGGGTAGCCTTAAAAGTGAAGTAAAGAAGGACTCTCCTCTTTGTAATCTGAGGAAAGTCCCTACTCCTCAAATATTGGCCCAAGTATTCTCTATATTATTTAGTCAGGAAATTTTACTCTTAGTTGTTTCTTTCATTTAAGCTTTATCAGCTTCTAAAAATTTAAGGCGTTTATTTGAATCTTTCCGTTTGGTAAAGAAAATAACTTCTTGAGAAATGAGACAACTCAGTGCCAAGCAAGAGACAGAGACCAAGTCAGTGGGAGATAGTGCAGGATTATCAGCCCCAGAGCTTGGTTAATCCTGGAGATGGCAGAGTGAGCAGGAACAGTGCTGGGAACTGTGGTAGTGGAAGGGACTTGGCTTTGAGAGAGCAACAAGAGAGCTAAGTAGAGAAGAGGTGAGACTTGATAGAGGATATAGGAGGCTACAAGAGACAAACGCATACTTCCCAATACTGTTTTCACCTAGTCCTAGAAATGTCCACCATGATGTAGTAATGGAGGACACTGCCAAGGTGAACAAGACTTGTCACTCATGCATTCATTTCTTTCACCCATTCTGCAAGTGTAAGTACCTACCTGTTTTATGCCAGGGTATGACATTGTTGATAATACAGGGTTATTTCAAACACAAACAAACAAAAAACAAGTCAAACAAACAAGCAGAGGTTTGGGGTAGAAACTGGGTGATTTTTTTTTTTTTTTAATAATGAATAATCTAAAAAAGGTCATTCTGAGGCTCTAGCAATGAGTTGTTTCTTGCCTTTTTATTATTCTAATATCCTGTAAAAAAAATTCCTGAATGTACTTGACAAGGCTTCTTCAAGTGTGATCCCTGACTAAAAGTATCAGCATCACCTGGAAACTTACAGAAATGCAAATTCTCTACTATGCCAGGAATGACAACTTGAAGAGGAATGGTGTTGCATTCATCCTCAAAAAGAACATTTCAAGATCTATCCTGAAGTACAACACTGTCAGTGATAGGATAATATCCATATGCCTACAAGGAAGACCAGTTAATACAACTATTATTCAAATTTATGCACCAACCACTAAGGCCAAAGATGAAAAAAATTGAAGATTTTTACCAGCTTCTGCAGTCTGAAATTGATTGAACATGCAATCAGGATGCACTGATAATTACTGGTGATTGGAATGTGAAAGTTGGAAAAAAGAAGAATCGGTAGTTGTAAAATGTGGCATTGGTGATAGAAATGATGCTGGAGATTGCATGATAGAATTTTGCAAGATCAACAACTTCTTCATTGCAAATACCTTTTTTCACCAACATAAAAAACAGCAACTATATACATGGACCTTGCCAGATGGAATACACAGGAATCAAATCGACTACATGTATGGAAAGAGACAATGGAAGAGCTCAATGTCATTAGTCAGAACAAGGCCAGGGGCCGACTGCAGAACAGACCATCAATTGCTCATATGCAAGTTCAAGTTGAAACTGAAGAAGATTAGAACAAGTCCACAAGAGCCGTAGTACTACCTTGAGTATATCCCACCTGAATTTAGAGACCATCTCAAGAATAGATTTGACGCATAGAACACTTATGACTGAAGACCAGATGAGCTGTGGAATGACATCAAGGACATCATATATGAAGAAAGCAAGAGTTCATTAAAAAGACAGGAAAGAAAGAAAAGACCTAAATGGATGTCAGAAGAGACTTCTGAAACTTGTTCTTGAGCATGGAGTAGCTAAAGCAAAAGGAAGAAGTGATGAAGTAAAAGAACTGAACAGAAGATTTCAAAGGGCGGCTTAAGAAGACAAAGTAAAGTATTATAATGACATGTGCAAAGAGCTGGAAATACAAAACCAAAAAGGAAGAACAACTTGGCATTTCTCAAGCTGATAGAACTGAAGAAAAAATTCAAGCTTCAAGTTGCAATAGTGAAGGATTCTATGGGGAAAATATTAAACTTTGAAGGAAGCATCAAAAGAAGATGGAAGGAATACACAGAGTCATTATACTAAAAAGAATTGGTCGATGTTCAACCATTTCAAGAGGTAGCATATGACCAGGAACCAATGGTACTGAAGGAAGAAGTCCAAGCTGCACTGAAGGCGTTGGCAAAAAACAAGTCTCCAGGAATTGACAGAATATCAATTGAGATGTTTCATCAAAGGGATGCAGTGCTGGAAGTGCTCACTCATCTACGCCAAGAAATTTGGAAGACAGCTACCTGGCCAACTGACTGGAAGACATCCATATTTATGTCTATTCCCAAAAAAGGTGATCCAACTGAAAGTGGAAATTATCGAACAATATCATTAATATCACACGCAAGTAAAATTTTGCTGAAGATCATT